TATATACCGTTCGACGACGACAATTTATGATATTAATGCCACTTGTGGACAGATGATTCAAATAACTTGCTCTCTTGATCCGTTATTACATCCGTTAACTCCAAGTTCACACAACAAATATTATTGATTTTGACGAGCATGATATTATAACATATGTGTGTACTGCGCATATGTATTATTAATAATAAACACGGTGGCATTGCAATCCGGATTATATGTGTATATATAGGATGCGTATACAAATAAAAATATTAGTTCAATAGATTACCGGGGAGAAACGTATTGTCGATGAATGTTTATTCAGCTGTGTTGATTCAAACGGTAGGTCTGTACACAAAACGATTTTACAACAAATGTAATACAATAAACTATTGTAGCGCAAAAATGATAAAAAAATAAGCAAGCTATATGTGATCGTTAATAGAGATCAATAAATATATAATATTAAGAATTCTAAAAAAAAAAAAAGACAGATAATTTAACTTGCGATCAAAAAGTCAATTGTAAAATAAATTCCGTTTACAATTTACGTGTATATAATATGTATTTTGTATATTACTTTTTTAAATGTTTTCTGCGATGCATTAGATTATAAAAATTCCCAAATTTTACCGAGAGATCGTCTAAAACTTAATTCATCGAAATATGAATTTCATATGCAATATCTTAAAATAATTCCCATTAATTAGAATATTTTCTCGGACATCTAGTATTTTTTTCCGGATGACTTTAATCCATCAAAACTCGATCTTGATACGATTTTGATATAAAGAGAATGTTAAAGTTATGATATGTAAAGATATTAACCTTAACATTCAGATTCTTATTTTTTATACTTTATCGCTAGAAAATATTTTTAGAATTTTAAAACTCTAAAATAAAAAATCCTTTTATAGGGAAGAAAAAATTTCATCAATTATATCAAAATTCCATAAATAGAGTGATAATTTCTAGTTTAATAGAAGTTAGATTACTACTAGCGAATTAATCGCGCTTATACGGAGTAACAGCAATGTGATCCAAGCCAAACCAAAACTAATTAATCCAAAACCGCCATTCGCAAAGCTCACTTGGCACGCTCGCGATATAAGTAGAGTGTAATATTGCACCGTGGAATCGCGGTCGCGCGGTAACCTAACGACACGGGAATACCTATGTTACCTCGCAGTAAAGACCGGTACTCGTAAATACAACGGAAACTCAATATCGCGTTACTATTAGCGTCGACCGCTGAAAACGGATCCTCGAAACTACTTCTGCGATTACAGTCGTCAGGGGAGTCGATAACTCCTACGTAGCGCGTGATAACTATAAGTCGAACAATATCTATTATTCGCGATTTAATTGTTTGGAAACTGTTCATATGTTCAAATATTTAAATTTAGCCTGAACTCTTGACGATCTCTTAAACGCATGCTAAATTATATACCGAACAACGTGCATGTAAATATTTTTTCTCTCTCTCTCTTTCTCTTTATTTGCCCACACAATTAATATCATTGACTCCGGGAATTATATTATATTTTCTCTTTATCTGCCCACACAATTAATATCATTGACTCCGGGAATTATATTATATTATACTGCCAACATCAGAGAAATGTCGATGATTCCGATAATTAAGTAAAGTAAAAAAGATAGATATCGCGGGGAATACATGAGAACGAATAGAGAAATTCAAAAAGATATATATATTCAGGTATAAAAAAAAATTTTTTTTAGACTCAAATATAATAAATTTTGGCGAAAAAATAAACGACTCTTTTTTCAGAAATATTCAATTACTCTATGTATACAATGGACTTCTCTGTTATCTTTATCGGCCTGACTCTACACGAGTCGATGTACCAGCGACTCGAAGAGAGAGAGATGGACGTTTAGGTTCCGTTTATTTACTTGCAAATTTTGTGTCGTGCAACGTCGAATACGAACGAGACACGAAAGTTGCGCGGGACAGCTCGAGACGACGATGCCTTTACTCGCGCGATGTCTGTTGTGCATGCGAGAAATGCCAACTTTATTCCGCAGCCAGATACGAGACGACTTTTCGATTAACGCAACTTTTCTGGCACGCTCTCGCGTATTCCTCATGACGATATTACATTTCGATCATTATACAGGGTGTCCCCAATTTAAATGTCAAAACTTTAGGAGCGTGTAGGGGACCGATAAACTAACAATAAGACAAAAAGTCCTTTAGAGATTTTGCGCGTTTTTGCTTCGTTTTGAAGAAAATCGCAAAAAATGAAACAAATAATTTTCACCAAAAAACTAAAAGCAACACTAAAATTATTAGATTTATCAAGAAGTATTATAAAATAAAAATTGTAGAACATGGAATTAGAGGATTGTAGATAAATACGCGACAACGTGAAATTTTGTTTCTAATCTAATTTTACCTCAGGTGGATTTTAACTCACTCTCTTTTCTTAATTCCATGTTCTACAATTTTTATTTTATAATACTTTTTGATAAATCTAATAATTTTAGTGTTGTTTTAAGTTTTTTGGTGAAAATTATCTGTTTCATTTTTTGCGATTTTCTTCAAAACGAAGTAAAAACGAGCAAATCTCTAAAGGACTTTTTGTCTTAGTTTATCGATCCCCTACACGCTCCTAAAGTTTTGACATTTAAATTTGGGACACCCTGTATAATACAAATTCTATTTTTGCTTTAATATTTCCAAAAAAGAAGATATATATTCCTATATAAGACAGAGTGGACGTATATTGACGTATATGTTGTAATAATGTATTATAAATGTGATGACGTATATCGTAAATCTAAATTTGATGAAATTATATGTACTGTAAATCTAAAATTAGATGATTGATTAATATTACGAATTACATGATGTATGTCAATAATGTCAGTAATATCATGATGTTTGTCGCAAAATTTTTCCTACATTTCACACTGATGTGAATGTAAATTATCTAAATTACCATACGTTGAAAATATGTGTAACTTTTTTTAAAAAAATATGCATATGTTGCAATTTTTTTTTTGTATATTACACAAGTTTTCAATGTGTGATAATTTAAATGATTTACATTCAATGTGAAGTGTAGGAAAAAATTTGCGACGTGAAAATCATGAGTGTAACTCGTATATTAATCAATTGTGTAATTTTAGATTAATAATAAAATCAAAAACGTAATAAATATCCTTTTTTCCTATTTATATAAATTTGAAGCATGTACTTTTAATAAATAAAGTTTTCAATAGACAATAATATTTCGTTTATAGTTGTATGTAGTAATTTTCTTCTCGTTTTTAATTGTATCATTTAATAACCATAGCGTTGTTAGGCTATTGTTAATATGCTGTAACTTTTAAAAAATTTAATTAAAAACAAAAGAAAAATCGCTATAAACCACAAATAATTTTTAAAAAATATGATGCAGGTAAATTTAAAATATCTTGAAAATTAATAAAGTTGTGTTTTTCGTCAATATGTAAATATATTGTAACTTTTAAACGATGCATTCACAAACGCGAAAAAAAACCAAATATCTACAAACAATTCTGAATTAAAATATATCGGCGATTTTTTTATTTTGAAATCAGGTTATTTTTCCTAAAATTGATTTGTTTTTTTTTCAAAATGTTGTATTTTTATGGCTTTGATGATAAAATTATTGTTACTGCAAATAATTACAAACGAAGTAATCATTTCCTGCGTTGAAAACTTAATTTATTCAAAGTAGAACGCCCAAAATTTACATAGATCATATTTCTGTTTAAACGCGATATTTGAAGGTATCAAGAATCTAAAATTACGGTGTACAAGTAATTTTTTAAACCAAAAAAGATGCCAATATGTCATAGTGATAGCGCCGTAAAAACACAGACTCGAGAAATTACAACAGTTAGGGTGGAGAAGTGGAAGAGAGAAAGGGTGGGGCTCGCGACGTTTCCGCGTAATAAATTATTTTCCTCTGGAAAAATCGGTGGTGCAAAGCGCCATAAATACTGACAAACAACTACGATAAATAGGACTGGCTTGACTATGCGGGCTTGTCCGCAAACTTCGCGAGCGATTCGGCCACGACGGCTTACACGACATGACGTTCCGCGATATTCATCGAAGTATAATTATTTCAGTGCGGTGGAGAGCCAACGCGTAGCCAGCGATAATAGGAATTGCTTTGTAAATTCCCTAATTCCAACTAACTCGACGCACTGGGAATCATAAACATAACGAGGCTTGTAATCATGCACAAGTTAAACCGAGTTGATCTCGTTGATATCAAAAGTCGGTAGTTTAAAAAACCAATTTGTACATAATTAAATTTTTAAAATTTTAAAATTAATTACACTGTTTTTTAATACGTGTCCTCAGCTCTCTGTTATATTCATTCCTTTAATTTTATAAAATTCACTTCAATTACTTTTCTTTTGTTTTTATAAATATAATAAATAATTCAATCTCTACATATATTATATGAATAAATAAAATACGAAAATATATTTAGAAAGCATGAATAAAAATAATGTTAACAGTAAATTAATATTACTATGTTATTATATATATTAATGGAATTGGATTGACTATTTTGACCACACTTGTCAGTATTTAATATATACAATGAGAAAATTCCAAAAAAGATAATGAAGAAATTCCAATAATAAAAAAATTATTAAATTACAATAATAAAAAATAATGAAATTTTTAATGAGAATTTTATAAAATATGCAAATATGTGCACACACATTGTATGCATATCTTTTAAAATATAAAATTTAATGCGTCGGTATAAGGTAATAATCCTTATGTTAATAATTACCATGTAAATAATGTAACGTAAAAAATATGTACGAAAAATACATCTCATTTTTAACGGATATTTGAATAATTATTCTATTAATACGTATTTTGCAGCAACATATTCATAAAGGAATGATATTTTTATATTATATTATGTATAATCGTATCCATTTACATATGGATTAAATGAAAATGTGAGATATAATTATCATCATAATTATAGACTCACCAGACGTTGTCTCTCTGTTTTCTTCTCGTTGTCTGATCCATTCCTGTCCCAAGCTTCGATTATCAATGATCGATTATCCATCGCACAAGTAATTGAAGTAATCAATTACTGACAATAACTACGGTAATCGCGATACTTAAAATTCGACGATAGTACAATACTTCTCCCGACACTCCCGATATATATTTACTCAGATATTAATCATTATAAAAAAAAAAAACTGTACACTCGCGATACTTAGACTTTTTTCCCGACATTCATTTTACCGAATGTAATTTCGATCGAATGTCGATTACACATTCGCAGCACTTGCATTCGCGTAACCACAATAATCGCCCGATACATTTATTCAGCACGACATTCGATCCATTATAAGCATGATTTATTTTTGTATTTCAGTTATATTATATTCCACTCGTTATCATATCACAGCACATTGTATCATCGAATTATTCATTATCGCGGCACGTGCGTTGAAACACGGTGTACATTCGCGATGTACATATTATATTTTCGCTCGAAACTTTTTCTCGGCGTTCCTAAAATTCGCGTTTTACGCGTTCGCATTTGATATCCGACGACCAACGTAAATGCGTCATCAGTGGTTCCCATTCGTGACATTCGCGTTAACAATAAGTAAATATCGACCTTATCGTTCGCGAGAGACTTAATCTTCCGACGAAATTACAACGATCGCCCGATACTTTGCGTGTTCGAAACTCAACTACGTGACGGTCGCTCGCGACGAACGGAGGCACGTGTTCCTTTCCCCCACCCATCAATTCCGGGAATCGTCCGACGAGCCTTCCCGTGTTTCTTTCCATTGCTTCGCGAGATACGCGTGTTTTTCGAATAAAAAATGTTTATATACTGTGTATCCTCGTCGAGTTAATTCTACATAAAATGTTTGTTTTTTTTCTCAACTATTGTAAGCGAGTGACGTATTATAATGAAAAAAATATCAGGTGTTGTACATATAACATTCCTCTCCCCTAATATAATAATAATTATTATTAGACTATTAATATATAATATATAACTATTTATCGCGATCGACGAAGAGTAATAAATGGCGTCCATAAATATTAAATACATGGTCGAAAATAAAATATTACTGGCGATTTTTTCCACGATGATCCGAAAATTATCGGAGTATTTCTCGAATCGAAATTGGATACGTGAATACAAACGCGTGTGTGAAAGTAAATACGCTTCGAAAGTATAATATTAAATGTAAATTTGGGCGCGCGATCATAAATGCGTTTTGGCAATTTATCGTGTATGTATGTGTGTGTAAACGCGAATTTTCTTCGTGAAATTTTAAAGTAAATAAGATCGATGGAATAGCAAATATTTATGGATTTATCGTATATGTGTGTTTGTGTGTGTAAACGCGAATTTTCTTCGTGAAATTTTAAAGTAAATAAGATCGATGGAATAGCAAATATTTATGCTCAAATGCGTGAGAAAATCGATGGAAAAATTATTCCATAATTTTCTTTTGCCGTTCGATATATTATTTCATACGCACAAATGATTCAGTGGCCAAGAGGTTTGTCGAAAAAAGATAAAGCCCTCTCGATTCACGTATCACGATTAAATATCGATCACATCTCATTCGCGAGATATCTACTCACCATATAATCACGATAATCGCCCGATATTTTCCTCAGCATTCTCGAAATTCGTGTCGAAAGTGTCATGGCGACCGTTCCAACGACTAGCGAAGATGGTAGCGAAGACGCGCGATTGTATTAAAGGGGAGCACACGCGATTCATTAAAGCGTCCGTCACGGAATCTCGATCGCGATTCACGCGTCGATTAACTACAGATCGCTATCATTCCCGAAAGACGTAATATCCACGTAATAACGACGATCGTATCCGATATTTTACGCACCATCGAAATTCGACTACTCGCGACGCTTGCCTTTTTACGACTAACTAGAAACGCGACGTACTTCAAAGTCTTTTACGGCTAACGTTCCACCGAAGCGTCCAGCCAATCACGTGCGCGCAAATACGTCGCGTCTACATCGTCTGATTACCTATCTATAATAATTCTATTAATTCAAAATTCCAATAATTGCGACGTAACTGAAACAAATATGTGTGTGTCCGATATTCCATTTTAATAATAGAATTTTCCTTTACACTCTTCCATCGCTCTCGTCTATCTTCACGACGGTTGATATTATATTATACGATTAGCGAAAAAACACGCGCGAAAAATTCTAGAGAAATTCACACGTCATTCGTTAAATATGCAAATCCCTCACAAGCGCTTACCGAATTTCTTATCAATATTCGGTGACAATACAACACACGCGATTAATCAAACGCGATTAAATAGATTAGGTAGACCAATATCAATATCCTCCCCGTCGATCGAAAAATTAATATATTAATAAACTAGGAGTTTTCTATGTACATAGATCATAGACGAACGAACTGTATGATGAGCGCGCGTTTGATAGACTGATCTAGCACGACAGACGCACGATTTTATTATAGTGGGCGTCGCATCCTCCCTCCTTTTTCTTTCTATTAAGAATCGTCTATGACGAGCTCTCCTGTGTTTCCTTTCGAGTACATTACATTTTACGATACGCGTAGTTTTCGAATAAGGAATGTATGTTTATATTGCGTACTCTCTCGCGCGCGTCGAGCTAATTCCAGGAATAGACGTATGGACGTGTTCCAGGAATGTTTCTAGGTTTTTTCTTCAGCTGCGAAAAACATGAACGATGTTAGATAAAATATCGGATATTTTCTCTTCCCCTAATATGATAGTTACTAGTGATTAATTATTGATCAACGAAGCATAACACGCGTAACAGAAATATTAAATATATATATTGAAAATAAAATATTTCGCTGACGATTTTTTCGAGATGATCCGGAAATCATCGATGCGTCTTTCGCGGCGAATATATAAAAGTAAAATTTCGAAAGTGTAATATAAAATTGCATTTAAAATCATTTAAATTCGTACGCACGATTTTAATCGAGTGAATAAACCTTTGTGGAATTTTGAAGAAAACAGAAATTGTCTTTGATAGAATAACAAATATGTATACAACAGATATATAAGAGTTATGATATAAATTATAAATTCCATGATTATTTTCTCTCATTCCAAGCAAACGTAACGTGTAAACTTGATACAATCTCAAGCATGAGATTTGAAGGATTCAAGATTGTATCTCATCCTTTAGTCTTTAGGCAAGGAATACTGAATGAAACAGTTGAACAAAATTATGTACTTCAATACTAACAATAAACATTAATTATTACATGTAATGGCATTTTTTTATATAATATCTCATATTTTTAAATTAAAATCAAACCAATGCCCCGAGTCTGTTCACTATAATTCTCTCAGAAGTTGACCCCTTGATAAATAAATTTCGTAAATAATATTCTTTAATTGATTAATTGATTTTATTTTATTTGAGATTGTTGGGAATTGATATGACATATATATGCGCGATCGATATAAAAGAATATTTGGAAAAGAATTCGAGCGTTGAAATGTATATATTGAAAGCTCTTACAGTCATGTTCTCCAGCTTGGAGAATATTGAATTGTTCTAACGTATTTTCTTTGAAATGTGAAAATTCACTCCATAGGAAAATTCGTACATCGATGTAGATCGTCGAAAGACAAGAGTTCTCAATTCTTTGCTTTGCGAAAACTTCCTTTATTGGTACTTTTTGAGATGGAATCGAAATATTTTATATGAAGATAGAATGATAATTCTACGCTTTTACGTAGAACAAAGTAAAAATATATATTATACTTACAGCATTGAAAAAAATATTCTCACGTTTTTTTTTTAAATTCATATTTTTATTTTTTGTTGTATATTATTTGAATTCTTGTTCTTATTCTTTGTAACATAATTTATATAGTACCTCTCGTGATCGGTTAGGCATAAATAGAAAATACAAAAACAATAAAATAAACAATCGCGAAAAAGAAAAGAGAAATAGAAAAATTATAATGTTTATAATAATATATAATAAAGGATACATCTATATTAATATTTTATATATCATGTAATATTAGACAAATGGTAAAAAAAAAACAAGAAATAAAAAGTAATATTGATCCTTCCATGCTTAAGTGTTTTCGGAAAACTCATACTTTAATGTAGCTTTCTTTGTCTACTGAATCGTTCCAATTGTTTTCCGCTACAAATCGCCCGCGGGGTATTGAGCCCGATGTTCTCACTTCGCGTATAAAAATATGTTATGTACGAAGGATATGAAAATCCGAATTGCCATCGAAAGTACTTTGTCAGAAGACAAAAGCTCCCCCACGAAGTTCCAGGATCGCGCGCTTCTTCTCGCGAGGAAAACTTTCTGTATCTTCAACTTCATAAACGTGAAAGTTATACCGAACCGAGATTCTTTCGCGGGCAAATCGCTTTTACGCAGTTTGCGAGGAATCGCGCCAAAGATTATAAACATACGAATCGGGCATTGAAATCGATATACCACACTTCCTGCGAGTGCTTTGATATCGAGAAATAGAGTCGCACCATACAATCTTTATATTCACAATTTTTATAAAATATATACATTTCCCCATACTTTTATAGCATTCAAAAATATTAGTCATTTTACTCGCTAAATTATATTAATAAATAAATTATAAATAATAAATAAACGATAAATTTATAGCATACCGAAATTTTGCTAGAACGTGATTTTTATCGATGAATCAAATAATTTTTGTTTTGTTAATTTCAAAGCAAGGAAAATGTACGCAAAATATTTTTTCGCGTATCGAATATCTTTTTTAAATTATAATTATTCTGCTTAAAATATAATTTGAGCATAAAAGACGTTTGATGATAGATTCTCTGCCAATAGAGAACCGCAACTGGCTGCCACGATATCAAAGCCCTGCTTGTTTTCGTCTCATTACCGGAAATCCTATTTAAGATGGAAATGCGAAGTGCTAAGTTATTGGTGTGGGCGCAGCTTAAGTCGATTGGCTGCGGAAGATGACATTCGGGAAACCAAAAAGGAGCAGTCCTAGAACGTTTCTCCGTAGCGTACGCTAGAAAGGCTTTTTCCGTACTTCGAACTTCGCAAACATATCCGGCGCATCCGGCTGGTACAAAAACGGAAGCACTAAAGTACCTGCAACTGCGCGATGTTACCAACTTCGTTGCATTCAGAAACTCCTTATCTCTCCTTATATCAGTTTTTGCTCTCTACTAAAAGGTGAATAATTATCAGATTCTGCGCACGAGTGTAGTTTTCCAGCATCTATCTATTAACACTGATGATAGCGCGTTTCAATCACATACTTCTAATCAAATAATTCGCGCATCATTCGATGATATTAACTATTCAAATTCTTTATTTACAGAGCTATCGCATACGTCAAATTCAACGTCAGGTACCATTATATTTTTTTATCTAATATTATTTCTCAAATGTCATATTATATAACTAAAATATTCTACAATTAATTTAATTAGTGGGGTATCATTATTATTATTATTAATATAATAATAGTATTATATTTTTTACTAACATATGTATTTTAATCAGAGTTATGAACGAACGTTATCTACGAGGAACATAAGACAAGAGGAATCCACGTAAGATAATTCCCGTAAAAACTTCGTCTCGACGGTGATAATTTTAGTTATATGATAAGGAAGAGTTACTCGTGAAAAAGCTCGACGGTGGGTCAACTACCGTTCGCGAAAGGAGAGGAAAAGAGTACCGAAATAAAGGAGGAGTGCTGAAGGAGCAATTGCGTTTTCTCGCGTTTCTTCGCACCCTCGCACCCTCGCGCGCTGCGGGGGAATGTTTATTGCTATGATACAGCCGCACGGTAGCTAAGTTAGGTTAGATCATCCCCTTTGCCACCACCGTCGAGGGGGTATCTTCTCGAGGTGGTATTTTCTCTGTAGAGAGAGAATTTGCCGCCGCGTTGCAGGAAGTACGGAGTGGCGGCGGGTGTAGTTGGAAAGTTCCATCCGGAAGTAACGTTCTATTGGCCCATCTGAGCTCGTCGAAATTCTAAATGGGGCTTTCCATTTATTCAAACAGAATTTACGATGAGCCTTTCGAGTCAGCATCGGGTGTACACTAACGTCGCACGAAACAATCTGTTACCATCCGTGTTGTGGATAGAGATATATTATAGATATATTCATATTTATTTATAGACAGCGTGTATAAATTTCGTTGGTTATCAAAAGATTTTGTGAAATAAACGTGTGATATTTGTATAATTTTATATTCGCAAAATATTTATCTTTATTTTACAACTATAAAATAAAAACAAGAAGAATTCCAATTGCGATGAATTAATCAA